CGGAAAAAAAACAGACTCTGAAAAATTAAATTATGCCGTTTATTGAAAATGATTTTGTTTTCCATCAGGATAACACCAAACTAGTGTTTTTTGCAGACCCCACAGGAATTCATGCATATTTCTAAAGCCGTACTTCATTTGATCTTCTACTTTCGGATTACCATTTATTTTAAATTCTCTTAAAAAAAATTCAATAAATCGACGGTTAATTTTATATTTATCAATAAGGTTCTACAGAAGAATTCTATAGATAAAACAAGTTAGTTACAAGGAAATTTTTTTTTAAAAAATGGCAACAAAAAGGGCACTTATAATAAAAATCAGAGGGGACGTCTGAATTTCTTTTGAAAATAATGAGGGTTTGGAAAATTTAACCCTCAGACGGCATACAGAGGTTAAGAGAGACAGAGGAAGGCATAAAACTAAATGACGATCTTGTGCTAATGGATAGCGGAAAAAAGGCCACAAGAATAGGAAGTTAGAGAGCGCCATGATTGACTACGCGCTGAAGGGACATGATACATAGAAGAAGAATATTACTACAATTACTTTTTAAAATGTACTTCAGACAAAAGAAAGCAAAAACAGTTTGGGTTCTAAAATATTCACAATTTTCGATTTTATCAAAAGAAATGTTTTAATGTAATATCTTTATTCACAGATTAACAAAATCGATGTTAGCATCGCCTGCGTCTAAAGCCGAAGTCTCCACAGAAATCGATATCGATTACCTGTAGTTGATAAAGCAAATCAGGCATTTAGAACGTAACTCAGGTGTGCGGTCCGCTAATCATTTAATGCCCAAAGAAAGAACTGTATGAACTTGAAAATAAAGATTTAGCGCAATCTTTTGTTAAACGAATCAGTACACCTTCGTCTTCATTAAAAAAAAAAATTGACTAAACAAATATTTCTTTTTCGGCATAATTTCCTTCAATGAACCAAACTTAAGACTTCTCCATTAATCACATCGAACTGTGGAATCGATTCTCACGTCGATGCCTCCTAACACGACAGTCTTAACCTTTTCACACCAAGGATCAATCGGTAACTATCCTCTAAATTCAATTAATTTTCGCCCTCTGTCCTCCACTTCCGGTAGATAGAGCTCTAAAGCCCAGGAAGGCATTCCATCTAGGGGAAGGAAAACCCTGATTTTAAACCCCTGTTATATGCAAACAGAGAAAGGGCTGTGGAAGTAAATCCAGACAGAAAACTGTGAAGGCGGTCGTCTGTCAATACTGACACCTTTATGGCAATTATTGAATGTAATGCCCCGTATTCCGTTGGATTTTGTCGATACGGACGACAGCGGGGGAGTTGTAGGTAAAGTCTGTGTAATGCACGGCCTCCACATCCCATCAGCCAGGCCCGCGCCCTGAAGAGGTTGCTTCAGTTTCACGACTAAAGGACAGAATTTTGACCAAACAGGACGCTACCTAGATCTCGTCCTATGAACGGAAACTACAATGCCTTCATACATCAATAGCTTCTCGGAGTCCTTTTGGGTAACGAATTATTTTCCACCCTCCAACACTTGTCTCACAGGTGGGATGTGGCGAGGGTTTCATTGCTCTATCGTTACTTTCAAGGAAAGTGCTCGGCCGAAATACATTCCTTGGTTCCGCCAGGTCTACCCTTCACGGCTAGGAGCCGCCATGCCATTTACATTGTAGAAAACCAGCCCCTATTCCTCCCGTATTCCATCTGTGATAAGTTCCACTTAAACAACTTCTTCCCGCGGACTACTGCTCTGTGGAACCGACTCTCAAGAGGATGTTTCCATGATAATTACAATCTTAAGCTGTTCAAGTCTAGAGGTAATCATTATCTATCCCCCTTATCCATATAAACTGCCTCTTGACGTAACCCTCTACTTGGAGATGCCACCGGACATGTTACAGAATGAACCTTACTGTAAAAAAAAAATAAATACATAACCTCATTCAATAGCCCTCTATTTGAGTGGATCTAAAGTTTGTATTTGGCGACCATTAGTAAAATAAATATGTAGATCTCTGATCAAAATCAACATTTCAGACGACAAACTAATTGATCTATGTTCGTATGACTGGAATTTGTTCAGGATTTATTTAGGACATGTAATGACAACCAGTGATCAGTAATGTTTAATGTTAATTGAGGATTGAAAATAACTGATCCTAGTTATGACAGGATTAAAATATCCACGGTGTAGTTTTAGATTTATCCGGGTGCAGGAAACAGATTAAAATATCCACGGTGTAGTGTTAGATTTATCCGGGTGCAGGAAACGGAGAAAAAAACTGCAGCTCACCAAACCGACAAAAACACAAAGTTAGATTATTCGATCTCAAATGACAGATCTGCCATACATATGACTTCACTGAGACACAGGTATAAACAGACTTTGATTGATTAGAGGCCCCTTTAAGACAGATGAAATGTTAAGATAAGTTTAAGATAAATGCAAAAACATTTTTTTTTTAAATTCTAAAATTAACTTATCTCTATTTATAAAAGGCAGTGTGTGTGTGTAACGAATGCACGGCCGCAATTTTCGACGGATTTGCACCAAAATTTACATGCACATGCTCCAAGTTAGCGAGAAGGCCAAGGCCGACTTTGCATTTCCCAACTCCCATCGATAGTGGAAATAATCGATTTTTTCATGCTTCTACGGCAGTTTTCATGTAGTTTCCGGCCAGAGTCAGAGCCAATAGCTGGCTACCACGAATAGGCAGGAAGATTCTATTGGCCAGCGTGAGAGCCAACAGCTGACTGACACGAATATTAACTAGCATGCAAAAAAAATCGATAGCAGCATTCGTCACAATCTGCATGGTACTTTACTCCAATTGGCTAATTCGCTTGCTTAAACTCAACGTTGATTCCAATTCTGCAGAACTGGGTTGGGTGTGAAAAAGTATTTGTTGTTAACATTCTTTTTTCATTCGCTTTTTCCAGTTACGAGTCTTTTTTTAAAGCTGATCGTTTTGTGTTCATTTTGTTTAGTTCTTTTTTCGTGACAGATTTAATGTTTAGTATAGAGTTTAGAAAAAATTCGCAGTGTGAGATAGGCAAGAAGTAAGGCATGTAGCAACATCAGCACGGCAAAGGGCACTCCTTTAAAGGCAAGGAAGGGCAAAAATATTTTAAGTCAAGTAATAGCGATTACTGTATGAGTCGTACGACTTTTGAATCAAGCACGGGAAACGCCGGGCTATGCTGCTAGTTGTTAATATACGCGACTCTCCCGTCGAATTCGACGTGTGAGGGTCAAGCAGATTGGTTCCTAGGAAACCGACAGCCCGACAACATCACATGAAATTTGATTATAGTGGTGAAGGTTTCGTGCAAGAACATCCACACTTTTTGAAGGGCCTAATACAGAGACCTGGTGCACTTACGTGCCACAAGGTCCCCAAACGAGCCTCCCAGGTTTTGAATTCCGAGTTGTCCTTCTCCTAGACCAGTTGGCATGCAAGGCTATAGAACCCAGTCTGTCCTGCTATTTACCCATAGCTGGAGGGAGAAGAGGATTCACACCTTTCCCAAGGGTATTAGCACGTAAGTGAATGTAATCCATGCCGCTATCCATTACTCCACCGTGTCTCCTATATATATATATATATATATATATATATATATATATATATATATATATATATATATATATATATACAGTTGGATTGATGTGAGTTTGTGACCCTAGGTTTTACGCTTTCACGGTATCTGCGTTTATATGACGATCGCAAATAACGTGAAACCCAGGGTCACAAACTCACATCAATCTAACTAAATATGTTAGCTCTGTCACTGATATTGAGCACTTTTCAATACGTACCGCGCATATATGATATATAAATAATAGATATAAAAATTTGCATACATATACGTATATATATACACACACATTTTACACGCACACACTCACACACACACACACACACATATATATATATATATAGCAATGTAGTTTAAAGTTGTATTCATAAACGGATGTAAGCTAATGGTGACGCGTCTTAAAAATGTCAGTGCATCTAGACATGAATGAATAACACACCTACCCCTAACCTTCAACCTATATTTGTCATTTTTCTGCTTTAGCCTTGACTGTTTTTGATTGGTCAAGCTAGACATACCCACAAAATTTTGAAATCTTGTTCCCCTTCTTTTTAAAGTCTAAAATGAGCTAATGTATTTTTTTCTCTTTCCAAAAGTAAATTATTTCGATAAGTTATCACCTGACGACAGAAGAATTTTTAAGTTCCGAATTTTTTATGTCACGATGTAAAATATTTTTTAAATAAAAATATTAATATATATTAATAATTTATTATTAATATATATATATTATATATATATAATTTATTATTAATATAATATAATAATATATATAATAATATACATATATATAATAATAATATATATATATATAATATATATATGAAAAATATTGTTTTAAGGTGTGCTATATTTATGGGATAAAGTGCTCAATATCAGATCGAGCGTATGTAAATATAAATATAAAGGTGAACATTGAAGTCGACACTCAAAGGCGACAGGCTTTTTCATGCTGCACGCAACCGTCAGGGCGCGAATGCTGGCTATTTCATCGGATATTTATATACATGGGTCAATATTTGATTGATTGTTGTAGGCTGATGATAGTATGCACACATAGTAAATACGTGAACACTACAATGCTTTCCAAGTATATGTGGGAAATTAAAAAGAAAACACAAATCACACCAAAAATATCATGGAAAATACGGAAAAGATCATCAGCCTACAACAATAAATCAAAACCTGTAAATTTTGCTTGGAGGAAAAAATAGCTGTTATTACCTTCCCAGACCAAAATAAATTACTAAATGAAAAGATCTGAGCTCATCTCAAAATGCAGACATGAAAACAAATCGAAGACTGAAATGTATAAATACAAATAAACAAAATAATATAATAATCAAGTAAAAAAATAACACAAACAAATATGTCAGCTCTATCAATCATATTGATTACTTATGAAAACAGATAGATAGATAGATAGATAGATAGATATGACTAGATTGAGATAGATAGATAGATAGATAGATAGATAGATAAATGATATGATTGATTGAGATAGATAGATAGATAGATAGATAGATAGATAGATAGATAGATAGATAGATAGATAGATAGATAGATAAATAGATATGATTGATAAAAGATAGATAGATAGATAGATAGATAGATAGATAGATAGAGATAGATAAAAGGTATGATTGAGATAGATAGATAGATAGATATAGATAGATAGATAGATAGATAGATAGATAGATAGAAATCAGAACTATTCGACGAACAGATTGAGACTGACACCAATTCTATCAAATTTTCCTTGCCATTTCCGAAGTTTATTATCCAAATTGCTTCTCGCATGTGATTTGCTTTGTAGCTGAGTTAATATCGTATTTCCCACATTTCAGAGGATGCATTTTGGATGACAAGTAAAAACCAGTCTTTTGAACGCTGATTTCTCTAACCATGCTAATCAACTTTCATTTCGGAAATTATTCTATTATATCCGTTCTCTTCTCATCTGTTGTACCGGATCATGAAATACGAAGAGTTACAATTTTGACAATATCACAGCTTTGTCTCCGTTGGACATGGAAAAAATCTACAAGTTTTGATGTGGTTGATTTTAGGCATTGAAATGCGGTCTTTCTATGGCGGAAGAAGCACACAAACCAAGAGAAGCAAATTGACTTTTGAGAGAAATCAATTTACAACCAAATCACAGAGCTTTTCTGAAAGCCGCTTATTAAAAACTCTTCTAATATCAAACTGTTAATACTCAAATGAAAAGATGATAGAAAGTGAGGGATCAGTTTTGTATTGTTCTTTAGTACTAAACACATCCCCAATTTCTTGTCCATTTTATATTATATCCATTTCTATAATCTATATTATATCCATTTCTATAATCTAGACAGGTTTTAAGTAACTTCCTTGTAAGTAATCAGATGAAAGGATGATAGAAAGTGAGGGATCAGTTTTGTATTGTTTTAGTACTAAAAACATCCCCCATTTCTTGGCCATAGTAGACTCATAGCTGAAATTCAAAAACATCCTTATAGGTAATCAAATGAAAGGATGATAGAAAGTGAGGGATCAGTTTTGTATTGTTCTTTAGTACTAAACCCATCCCCCATTTCTTGTCCATTGTATATCATATCCATTTCTATAATCTAGACAGGTTTTAAGTAACTTCCAAAAAACCTTCTAATAGGTTGGTTTGTTATATATACCGTCTATATTCGCGTATCATGCGATCTTTGAAGACCTAATTATGAAGCTAATTTTAAGGGGGTCGTATCATACACGAGATATAAATCTAGCCTATATACTGCTGGCCCTGCTTACGAAAGTGTCCAAACTATATATCTAGTCAAATTAGCTTTAAAATTAGGTCTTCAAATGTTGCATGGTACGTGATTATATACGGTAACTAAAAAATCCTTATAGATAATCAAATGAAAGGATGGTAAAAAGAGGGGGATCAGTTTTGTATTGTTCTTAAGTACTAAAAACATCCCCCATTTATTGGTCATAGTAGATTCATAGATGAAATTCTAAAAAATACAGGTAATCAAATGAAAGGATAATAGAAAGTGGGGGTCCAGTTTTGTATTGTTCTTTAGCATTAAACTCATCCCCTATTTTTGGCCATTGTATGTACTATCCTTTCTATAATCTAGACTGGATTTAAGTAACTTGGAAAAACTTCTAAAAGTTTGTTTTGTTATATATATATATATATATATATATATATATATATATATATATATATATATATATAGTGTAACCTGATATAAGAGAGTTGTCGGGACCGGATAAGAAGTCTCTTATATCCGTGTTTCTCTTATATCCGGGTTTGGTCTATTTTATATATACATTAACACAGGCTCTAATTTGGTACCAGAGAAAATCTCTCTTATATCCGGGTCTCATATCCGGGTTACACTGTATATATATATATATATATATATATATATATATATATATATATATATATACACTCGCGTACCATGCGATCTTTGAAGACCTAATTTTGAAGCTGATTTTAAGGAGGTCGTATCATACATGAGATTTAAAATTAGCGTATATACTGCTGGCCCTTTCCTTTACTGTAGTCAAAAAGTACAGCTCTATTTAAAATAAACATCGTACGCTATATGAGTATATACAGTATATTTCCAATTATAATATGTAGTAATTCTTGGAGGATCAGTTTATTACTTTATAACAATAGAAAATCGGTCCCCCAATTTATGTTCAATAGAAACTTTAATTACCGTATATACTCGCCCATCACGCGACCTTTGAAGACCTAATTTTGAATTTAAATTTAAGGGGTGGGGGGCGCATCATACACTATTTACTATAGTCAAAAGTAGAGCTGTATTTAAAATAAACATGATTTTGATAAAATTGATATTTTACTTAAACGTATCCTATAATAATGCATATAATATTAACATATTAATATCGTATTATAAAATACAAACAGTGAATATTCATCTTTTCCATTGTTTATGTTTATAAGATGTTTAGATGTTTCTCGTTCGATTGTTTATTGCTGTACGCGTTTATGCAACGAGTACAGCGTTACTAACGATACTTTTATTATTCTCTTTTACTTTTTTAACTTATTTAAGTAGAAGATAGCGGAAAAGAGGCTAGTCTATTGTAATTTGGTCTCTCATAAAAGGAGGAATTCGCAAAATACACAAGGTGAAATGATGAAATCATTTTTTATAAGTGGAAATTTGGGGGTCGCACGATACGCGAGATCGCAAATTACACGAGTATACTGTATTTTTGTCTGTTAGACGTCGACTTTTAGTCTTTAAACAGCGGAAAACGTTACACGAACGGTCACGTTTATTTTCGCTTTTATGACATCAGTCAATCAGTTAAGTGTCATAAGTGATACACGCTTCTGCGATCATGTCTCTCCACAATTTCCCTATTTAAATAACTGTTGACTCTTTCAGTTAAGTGCCATACGTGATACACGCTTGGGCGGTCATGACTGTCTTCAGTGGAGGCAGAAGATTTTTCCCGCAGTAGGTTGCCATTTTTTCTGCAGTAGACTGATTACCATTCAAGGCTATATAACCGATGGCTGACTTACTCGATCAGTAGACCAAACATACGTCTTAATTGCTTGTGGGGAATATTAACCATGAACGAATAAACAATTTAATTAGTGATTCGATAGTAGGGTCATTGAGAACTGAAAAAGGCGGGTAAGGGGAGGTTGTGCGCCCTGTGAAGTTGTCCAGGGGAGAGAATCTTAAGAACACACAGCGATAAGCATCTTAGTGAATGTTTTTGAAACGAGCTATGCATACGCCCTCAGAAAATAAAATTCGACATTTCAGAATTTAACAAAAATTCAAAGAAACCCGAGATGTACACGGTGTCGGCTGCAACTTCGTGAACTAAAAAAAATAAAAAAAATAATGGAAAAAAATGGAATTCGTCCGAACTACGGAGTATCCACAAATTCTTTAGACATTGCGAAAAACTAAGTTGCAGCTAAATTTTTGTTGCATATTATATTATATGTTTTTGGTGGCAGCTAAATTATATTGGTGCATATTATATTATATGTTATTATTAATGTTCTTTTAATGATATTAATAGTTTTATTAATGTTATGTTTTTTATGTCTCAGAGCGCAATAGACATAAACTGAATATCGCTTAGTTGTCTTTCGTGCAACGAATGGCGCCTATATAGAAATTTATATTTGTATATATACTTTACTATTTACTTCATATTACGTAAACATTTTAACAGTATCCAGTTTCAGTTTTAGTTTTAATGATTTTTATATTTCTCTAATATTAAATAATGAAAAAAAAAATTTTTTTTTTTTATGAGAAATGATTTGGTGTCGCTAAGTAGTCGAGAGGATGAGGAGTTCTTTAATGCCTGATAAACTAAGGATGTCCACGAAGAGTCGAAAAATAAAAGAAAAAAATTGTTGATGCTATTGAAATTATTTACACACCAGGAAGCCATATTTGGAAGTCGCTAAACTGTCATGATATTTGTATCGATGTCCAATGCATTGTTACGTATTATACCTTTAACCCTTTGAACCAAGCGATCCGGAACAATTTTAACCCATCTGCCTGAGATCCTAAGTCAAATTCGCAAATAATTGGTATGCAATGTTACACGGTAGATATAAAAATAGTTACAAGTTTACCCACTGTTTAACCGGTGACTGGGTATTAAGTCATTTTTCTCTACCACCGGTAAAGCGGTGGTCAGGGCACAAAGGTTAATAATTATTAAATTTAATCATTATATTTGTTTGTTTTTTTGTTTGTTTGTTTTTTTTTTGAGTAAATATTATTATTAATATTACGACTGATAATAAATATCTTGTTTTCAAAAATATATAATTTTATAACTTTTATTCGTATGTATTTTTCATATTTTCTTTATATTCAGATTCAAAGTTTCGGAGGACGTTATCTTCCATGCCTTCAGGGACTTATCCAATCATCAAGTTAACCCTCTGAGTCCTGCGTTCCTGAACAATTTTAACCATTCTGTCTGTGTTCTTGAGTCAAAATTCGCAAATAATTGGTATGTAATGTTTCACGGTAGATACAAAAATAGTTACAAGTGTTTACCACCGTTCAACTGGTGACTAGGCATTAAGTTAAATTTCTCTACCACTGTTCAACCGGTGGCTGGGCATTAAGTTAAATTTCTCTACCACTGTTCAACCGGTGGCTGGGCATTAAGTTAAATTTCTCTACCACTGTTCAACCGGTGGCTGGGCATTACGTCGTTTTCCGGTAAAGCGGTGGTCAGGGCTCAAAGGGTTAAGATAATTTGATGTCTTACATGTAATAAACAAAAGATAAAGAAGGCGCACTTACCTTGCCAAATATCTATTCCTGCCGTAGAGATCCACAGAGTTAGGAGGAAAATTCTTCGCCAAAAGACAGCGCAAGAATTCCGTATAATCTAAGTTCCAAGACTTCAGTAGGAATAGAAAATATGTAACAGAAGAATTTCTCATATGCACCCCAAGGATTTTTTGAAGCACGGATGAAAATTGTTGTAAGTGTTGGCAATTTTATAATATAAAATTCTAAGTCCTTCAATGAAAACGTATATTTCAAGTTGATCAGCGGTGTACCAAAAAATGTCAGTGAATTTGAAAACAGTTAATTCCAGTGTAGAAATATGTAAAAATTCTCCAACCAATACATTTACAAAATTCTTAAAGACAAATCTGATAAGTTAGAGTCTCTTTTATCCTCTGCCGAGGCGTACCAACACACATTTTCACGAGTAGGGATCTCTCTAATTTTACACTCCAAAAAGAACAGCATTAGTTTGTAAAATTTCCGATAGGAAAAAAAAAGCTAAGCTTGTATAATTTGCTCGTGAACGGTAAAAAAAAAAAAAATAATGATAATTATCATTCCGAATTGCTTACAAGCAAATATCCAGAGCTAAGGTTGACCAAATTTTGTAATCAAACCGAAGACGAACGTTTTATGTCAGTGCGAGGAACAGACAACAGAAAAATCTGGAAATGCTTTCCTTTCACGATTCCGAATGACGAATGCCAGAAAAAAGAAAAAAAAACTACAAGAACGACGAAGGCACGGCTTTTGCCCGCGAGCTTCAACAACGATCCAGTAACGTTGGGGGAAATTTCCCTGAAACAGCTGACAAAGACAAAGTATTCTGAAGACGCCACGGGCTAATTCTTTCTTCTCTCTCTTGTCTGTGAAAGCAATGAGCGCGACAGCGCCAAGAAAACCGGTTCTGTTTGTTGCAAAAGAAAGCCTCTTGAATCGCAAAAATATCTGCAGATACTTGTGTATGAAACTAGAAGTGGAAGCAATGTAACTTGAAGTTGAAGACAGATTCTCTGCTCTCGCCGATTCCCATGAGATTGAATTAATTGGCTCTTCTATAACCAAGACTCAAGGCAGTGGTGTTGCTCATTTTGCTCATAGCTAACTAGATAAAAGAAACATAATGAAGACGGTTGTGCCGTTAATAACGAGAACACGAAACGTGAAACTTTATTAATTTATATTTTATTCTCTAATAATTCGTCAGTCGTCTTTTTTTTGGGGGGGGTCACTGCTGCCACGTCTGGTCTGGTCTGGTGCTTCTGCTATGTATTTAGAAATTCAAAGAAAAATTTTCAATGTTATAAGTCCTGACCTGGTATCTCGGCTTCAGTCATTTTCCAACTACCGTAGCTTCTGTAAATACTTTCATGATAATTGTTCTGAAGAATTTTCCTCAATCAAGTTAACTTAGCTAGGGGATGTGTGCTCATTGGCCACTTTTATTTCTGTCCCCACTTTCTTTAGCTTAATTCCCCTCCCTCCTCCTTTTAGTGACAGCTATGTCAGTTCTCTGGTAGACGCAGGACGCTTTTCGTTTGTTTTGTTTTTTTAATTTAGTATCTGTTTTTGTATCTGAATGGTTGTGTATTTGAATGAGTGGTTGGTCAAATGTTTATTGTTAAATTACCTAGACTCACATTAATTTCGTCCAGTTAACCCATGTTTCTGCCACGATTAAAGATTGTGGGGTGGTTTTTATTATTAACACTATTTGGTTTAGTTTCTTGTATAAAATTGTAATCATTGTAAAATATGCATTGGGTTTTAATTTTTAAAAGTTGTTCTTTTTATTCCTCACCCAAACAAACTGTACATATAGAAACTAGTTAGAACTTCATAGAGACTTTGTGGTATTATGATGACTGTAGTAAGACTGGTAAATAAGAATGCGTTGTTTTGATGTAAGGAATACTGCAGTATATTTGAGTCAGTAATCGTGGCTAGATAAAATTAAGATAAGACAGATTAAAGACCAGTCTTGCCCTATTTTTCCATTTTAGCCTTGTGTCACTTTTTGTATTTTTCAAAATAGATATTACTCTCTTCTATGGTGCATAGGCTATCAATTTTAGCGCAGTACAAGATTGGCGGCAAGATCTCAACATTTCACAGTTGAAAATACTTGATGCAACCGTAAGTTCTATGCTAACAGTTTCTTCTATCGTACTTCCGGCTCCTTGGTTCCCAGTCAATATTGATCTTCAAAAATTAAAATCGAATGTCAATTCGTTATCTTCTGCCTTCTTTATTCTTGTTCGTTTATCGTCCTCATCCCTTAATAATACCATTCTTATATTCTTTCATATTTAGGATTTGGGGAACGCAGCCTTCAACATCGGATATTTGACTCCTTTTCTCCTCGTATCCTACAAACCTTAGAAATATAGTCACTTTTTCACTGAGTTCCATAGACCTTCTAGCCTAATGTCAGACTAAACTAATCCTAGTTCGTTGCTTTCTCATGGAGTTATGATTACTAAGCTAATTTTGCGAACTATTAATGTTGTAGTTAGTTTGATCGTCACTGTGAAATCCTTATTTGTTATCCAAGGGTCGCTTAGTACTTTATTGCGTTCCCCAAACTGGTTTTCATCTGTTGTACTAAGCTAAGCTTAGTAAATATCACGTGGCCATTGGCTTTGTGAGTCGGCTATCAGCAGGTTTTCTCTTTATCGGTGACAATGTCTGATCATTTTACAGTTTATATGGCTAGATGCAACCGTAAGTTTTATCTTAACAATGTCTTCTATCGCACTTCTCGCTTGTGGAACTCTCTTCCGGCTTCTTGCTTCTCGGGTAACTTCGATCTTCAAAAATTTAAATGCAATGCCAATCGTTATCTTCTGTCTGTCTTAATTCTTGACCTTTTAATGTCAACTCTCCTTAATAGTGCTCTTCTCATATTTTCTAACATTCAGTAACATTGCGTTTTAGCGGCTTTATTGCCTTGCTTGGGGTGTGGAGAAACTCCACTACCGACCTTGTTCGATATGAATATTTGAACCTTACATTCTCCATGTAGTGTTTGTGAGACTGTCCGTAGCATCCTTCTGGGACAGTATATTTTATATCAAACTATTCAACATTCTTTCAGATGTAGGCATGAGATCACGTATTTCAGCATACATTCATAACCTCAGATCAACATTGAACCTGGCTTCCTTTGACAGTCTGGTGAGGAAGGTGCAGCCAATGTCTATTTCGGCACAATAATCTGTTATTTTTTTAAAGCAATTCACCCCAAGCAAGGCGGGAGTGTCACTAGCGCGCAAGGGGTTACAGAGGGTAGAGAACAAGAGTAAAGAGGAGTGTTAGAGTGAAAGATAAAGAGAAGATGTCGATTGACATTACATTTGAATATTGGAAGATTATACCTATCATGGAAGCATGTAAGAAGGGACTTCGACTGTCAAGAAGTACGAGAGAATAAGCTGTTATAGGCATTTAGATATACACATTTAGATATAGACATTTAGGCATACACATTTTTAAAGCATTTCACCCCAAGCAAGGCAAGAGTGCCACTAGCACGCAAGGGGTTACAGAGAGTGAGAACAAGAGTAAAGAGGAGTGCGTGGGGAAAGGATATAGAGAAGAACGGTTATCAGGATCAAGGCATCAGAAGATGTCGATTGACATTACATTTGAATATTTGAAGATTAGGAAAGCAAATAGTTCAACTGTCGTGAAGTGCGAGAGAATAGGCTGTTGGTGTAGAAGAGGCGGTTACATTTAACTATTTCGACAATAAAAAGGTGGAACCGAGATACCAACCTAGTAGTACGCTTAAATTCATAGAGTTGGGGTACCACTGAAAATAGCTCGTCACAGCAGTTGCCATGAAAATATTTGTAGAAAAGGGAAGCCACATCACGTCTGTGAGAAAGTGACTGTAGACGAGATGCCAGATTAGGATCTATCACATTGCATATCCATCTCTGGGTTTTGTCGAGGACGTCGAGATGAACAACGGGGGATGGGGGTCACCAGACCATATATTGCAACAGTATGCAATGCAAAGACGGATGTAAGATCTAATATTCATTTTTCTTCATTGTTCTAAATACTAACAGCACGCGGTTTTTGCTCCGAAGTAAACTAGACATATGACCACTATTCGACCTCCAGGGTCTTTCGACCTCCAGGCCTATAAGGACACCGTATGTAGTTCAGCCATAACAACATTGGCGTGTCTCTGGCAAGATAGCCTTATGAAGTCTATCCCTCTTACATATATCTGTTGAAGTCTAGATGGCAGATCTGACGTTGACTAATTATTTAATGATGACGCCCATGTCTGAAAATCACTGTTACCATTATCTGAGGGACACACTTAGGGATCTCAAATACTTATCCCAGAATTTATGTTTCCTATTAAAAAGAGTCTACAAGTTTCTTTCTAGGGATCGCCAGCAGATGATTTATCACGTTCTCCGTAATCTCTTCCACGTTCTGAAATATGATCTACTTCAAAGGAGATGTTATCTTTAGAAATATCCTGAAGTCACAGGGAGTACGGTGGGAAGACACGTGAAGAACGGACAGTTGATAGTTTTCCTTGGAAACTCCCGCTCTTTCCATTCCAGCACTCTCAATAACCGCTTTCCTCTCAGTGCAACTCGTACACGGTCACCCTTTTCCAACGTTATACTTGCTAAAGATTTTCCGGGACTTGGGTGGCATTTAACCGATTCCTGGACGAGTTTGAAACGTTAATAGCGATTTTTTTTTCTCAGTGTAGCACGTTGAATAATCCATTAATCCCTTTCAGGTCTGTGAACAATTCTAACCATTCTGCCTAAGCTCCTGGGTCAAAATTCACAAATAATTGGTATGTAATGTTTCACGGAAGATATAAAAAAATAGTTACAACAAAAATAAGAATTATACTTAGAAGGGGGAGAGTATGATTGCATGCCTTCACTTTATCGCCAAAATTCTTTACACTATTTACATTATTCGGACTATTGTCCTCATCTTGTCATCATTGCCTCCATATTTATTACAACGTTTCGGCCTTTCAGTATTTGTCTATATTTCTGAGATGAAGTATTGTGTACACTATTTACATTATTCGGACTATTGTCCTCATCTTTGTAGCCATATTTATTACAACGTTTCGGCCTTTCAGTATCTGTCTATATTTCTGAGATGAGGCATTATGTACACTATTTACATTATTCTGACTATTGTCCTCATCTTTGTCGCCATATTTATTACAACGTTTCGGCCTTTCAGTATTTGTTTATATTTCTGAGATGAGGCATTATGTACACTATTTGCATTGTTCGGACTATTGTCCTCATCTCTGTTGTCATATTTTTACAAGGTTTCTTCAGGGTGTTGAAATGTCGAACTGAACCCTTTATTTCTCTCACTGGGGTAGACTATTCTAGTTCCACGGATGGATGTCAGTTATTAGTTATCTCCTGTTAATTCCCCTCTCCAATCCTCCATTGTCTTAACAAGGTATTGAACTCACCCTCTTCGGGGCCTGTCACTGGATCTAACCAACGCCTTTATCCACTGTGTATGAATTTCTGAGAAGTTAGCATTATTTGCAATTATTTACATCTCTGTTGTTACTATCATAACGTTTCAGCCGCTGTGACCCCAGCCTTCATCAGGCGTATATCGATTAATTTCAATTTGAAATTCCCTGTAAGTTGCCCTGCGTATTATAATGTAAATAATGGCTGAATACTTTCCAGATAAACTCTCAAATATTATACAATGAGAATTTTAGTTCAAAATAATATCGTCTTAATCTATTTATTTATATTTTTTGTTTGATCGATTTAGCTCGGACATTCACGAGTCTATAGCGCCAAACACCACGGCCCAGCATCAAAGTCATTAGGGAGGCATTCTGTGTCATAACATAGGTGGACAACATAGGTGGTTTCTGGGTGACCACACATCTTGCTTCATGGCCAGAACAGTAGATCCCTCACGCCAGCAATCTCAAACAAAGGGCCGTCCTGCTATGACGATAACCTACATTCGCGTCCTGGATAAGACGATAAAATATATCTGACTGCAAAGGATCTGATCAAGAGGTTCTGAAGTGTTTCCAGCCCCCCCCCTCGTCCCGGGGTGGTAGCACCTGTTGAGGTTCCAGCTATGGGCAAATATTTACCCCCAAAGTGGAGCCAAAAGTTTAAAATTAAGTTTTAGTACCTTCAATGTATTTTTGTAAAGAATTATTGCTAGCAATGAATTTCTTTTTAAAAATATTACCAACAATACATTTTTGAAGGAAAAAATATTACCAGCAATACAGTTTTGGAAAAAAATATTACCAGCAATACATTTTTGAAGGAAAAAATATTACCAGCAATACAGTTTTGGAAAAAAATATTACCAGCAATACATTTTTGAAGGAAAAAATATTACTAGCAATACATTTTTGAAGGAAAAAATATTACCAGCAATACATTTTTGAAGGAAAAAATATTACCAGCAATACATTTTTGAAGGAAAAAATATTACCAGCAATACAGTTTTGGAAAAAAAATATTACCAGCAATACATTTTTGAAGGAAAAAAAATATTACTAGCAATACATTTTTGAAGGAAAAAATATTACCAGCAATACATTTTTGAAGGAAAAAATATTACCAGCAATACATTTTTGAAGGAAAAAATATTACCAGCAATAAATTTTTGAAAAAAAAAAAAATGTTACCAGCAATATATTATTACCAGCAATATATTTTTGAAGAAAAAATAGATAGATAGATCGATAGATAGATAGATAGATAGATAGATAGATAGATAGATAGATAAAAAATATTACCAGCAATAAAACTCTTGTCGTCATTAAATAATCCATTGAGGTTGATATGCCTTAAAACAACCAAATCAAACCAATATATACTGAGATAGATAGATAGATAGATAGATAGATAGATAGAAAGAAAGAAAGAAAGAAAGAAAGAAAGAAAGAAAGAAAGAAAGAAAGAAAATATTACCAAAAATAAAACTCTTGTCGGCATTAAATAACACATTGAGGTTAGTATGCCGTAAACCAAACCAAACCGATTGGTTGTCAGTATGTTTTTGATGAAGCATTGTTACATGACTAATTGTGAAGAGTTGTTTTTACTTTGTTGTTTTAGTCACCATATATTCGACCAAATAAATTAACAAGACTTTCGAATAATTTCTATTATTTTAAGGGCCGCATTTTTATTGTTCTAGTAATCATTCATTATGGACAGCTTATTTGTTGGGGTCACTACATATTTGATCGTTGAATTCTCCGGCCTTTTCAGGCTTTATTATCGTTGTATGTCTTACGGTCATATCGCGTTGAATCACTGGTCCGTTCTCCGAAGTTAAGCAATATTTAACCTGGTTATCAGCTAGATGAGTGACCGCTTGCAAATACCACCTGCTGTAAGCCTGGATGTTGTGAGGGGTAAGAGCATGGAATGTGAAATTGGACAGCCGAGTTCGAATTCCAGTCGACCTCGTTACATTTATTTATGCCAAATATTCTTGGGAAAGGTATGAATCCACCTCTTCTCCCTTCACTATGGGTTAATTAGTAAGACTTGTATCACTTACTCTTAAAATTTGAAAATAGTACCTGGCTTTAAATAACCTACAAAGGGTTGATAAGCCGTAGAAAATGAATGAATTAATCAAAGTCTAATGGGAAAAGACATTATCAAAGATGAAGCTCATAAAGATAAGGTTAAGAAATTAGATGTTTTAGGAGAAATTGGAATCAGACATGCTGCTATCCATTGAACAGGAATTGTTTGAGGAATTGGATGCTGAAGCAATTATTGACGAATTTGTATAATCATCCCGGTCAGTCAAGTGCCATATGTGATACACGCTTGGACTATCATGTCTCTTCGGATTCATGAATGACTAATTGCCACCCAACGCTGTAGTCTGTCCGACAAACCAACACATATATGGCATGAGGGGTAAAATAGAGGGATCCATACTTTTCCCAAGGGGATTTGCGCGTATGTCAATATGACGAACTCGGCTGAAATTCGAAATCGGATCACTGATATCTCTTTTTGAGCCGTCTTCATACATTGGGCTGCGTACGATACTATGCATTATTCGAACTGTTATCCTCATCTTCATTTCCCTATTCACAACGTTTCGGCCGTTGCACGTTCCGGCCTTCATCAGATGATTGGAATTTTTCTTCAATATCTGTCTATATCTCTGAGATGAGGTATTATGATTACTTGCATTATTTACATTATTCGGACTGTTATCCTCATCTTCATTGCCATATTCACAACGTTTCGGCCGTTTTACGATCTGGCCTTCATCAGATTTATTTCGTTCACTGGGGCAGATTTTTCTAGTTCCACGTGCCATGCATCTCCCAGATGTTTCGGTTACTTCCCTTTAACTTTAGTTTTTTGGTTCACCACTGCTGTGGCTTGTTACTGACCTCACAACTCTTTGAGGCTAGTCACTGGAGCTAACCCACTTTATTGTCATAATCACAAGGGCAGCAATACATTATTACTGGCGATATATTTGTGGAAAAAATAATATTACCAGTAATACATTTTTGCAAAAATATTACCAGCAATACACTTTTGAAGAAAGAAACATTACCAGCAATACATTTTTGAAGAAAAAATATTACCAGCAGTACATTTTTGAAGGAAAAAATATTACCAGCAATACATTTTTGAAAAACAAATTATTACCAGCAATATATTTTTTTAAAATATTACCAGCAGTACATTTTTGAAGGAATAAAATATTACCAGCAATACATTTTTGAAAAAAATATATATATATTACAAGCAATCCATTTTTGAAGGAAAAAATATTACCAGCAATACATTTTTGGAAAAAAACATTACCAGCAATAAAATCTTGTCGGCATTAAAAAACACATTGTTGTTGGTATGTTGTAAACCACAGCAAACCTAACGAAACAACCTTAACCTGTTCATATCTAGAGTTAACCACTATCTTCCAACAAACAACTTTAAACCTTAAAAATGTCGGATTTCGTGCCAAAGAAAGTGTATTTGTGGGGAATTTTACTGCACTACTTTATTCAAAAGAAATCTGAAGCTGAAGCAAATTCTTGTTGAGACTTACGGCGACCATACTCTGTCGGAAACAATATACAGAGATTGGTTTAGACGCTTCAAAAATAATGATTTTGATGTTGAAGATAAAGAACGCTCTGAGGCACCGAAAAAGTTTGAAGACAAAGAATTGGAAGCATTACTTCATGGACACTCATGTCAGGCGCAAGCTGAACTTGCAAAATCATTATGAGTTGATCACATACGATTTCTAAACGTTTGAAAGCATTAGGAATAATTCAAAAGCAAGGACATTAGGTGCCGTACGAGTTGAAACCGAGAGACGTCGAACGGCGTCTTGTCACGCATGAATAGCTACTTTAACGGCAGAAAAGGAAAAGTTGCTTGGATCGTATCGTGACTGGCCATGAAAAGTGGATACACTACCATAACCCTAAGCATAGAAGATCGTGGGGTAAGTCGGCGGCAAAACCGAATATCCATGGTTCGAAGCTTCTGCTTTGTATTTGGTAGGACCAGTTGGGGGTAGTTTATTATGAGCTGCTCAAACCGACCGAAACCATTACGAGAGATCGCTATTGACTACAATTGAGGCGTTTGAGCTGAACATTGAAAAAAATCGGCCGCTATACGAGCAAAGGGATTTTGCAACATTACAACGCTAGGCCACATGTTGCAAAACGGGTGAAATCCTACTTGGAAACGCTTAAATTGGACGTCTTACCCCACCCGCCGTATTCACCAGGTATTGCCCCGTCCGATTATCACTTGTTCCGATCGATGGCACATGGTCTGTCTGAGCAGCACTTTCAATCTTATGAAGATGTCAGAAAATGGGTCGACTCGTGATTAACCTAAAAAAACGTGTCGTTTGTCGGACGTGGAATTCAAATTCTGCTAGAAAGAAGGAAAAAAAGTCGTGGCTAGCGATGGACAATAATTTCAGTGACATGTTTCGTACTAATTTTTCTAAATAAAATATTACTTTTCATAAAAATCAATGAAGACTTATTCAATGTCTAAATAATTTATTTCATTAATAGCGGGCTTTAATAAATGATCATCGCTATTGAATAATTTACATGAGGCCAACAAGGGGTCCATTTTTTTTTCACTGTTAAACTTAACATAATCATGTTCACAGTTGCTTAACAAGTTATGGCATTTTCTGATCATTGAAATTTTGTGAATTGCGATATTTTATATCCCGGAAGGTACTATGAAAATGTTGTGGATTCCGGGTTGAAATTCGGTACCAATAAATAACAAACGCCAGGAATTAATATATGAAAATAATGTATTAACGTAACAATACAAACTGGTAAAGCAGGTTAGTAGTTCCAGGAATACGGGTTAGTAACAAATATATATATACAGTCTTTGGTAATGAAGTATCGCTGTATGACTTCTTACTGAGTCTACGTGCTCGCTCACTGTGACTCTTGATCACTACGTTCGTTCTGTCTGTCTGTTACCTTACTCTCACTCTTCAGGTTATCTACAACCGTTCACTCTCCCTCTTCCTGTCTCCTCTCGGGTCTTCACGTAGCAGTAGTATATGTATATACTGGGTGAGTCCATTTGTGTAAAAAAGAGGAGAACCCCTCAACACCCCCCTCCTTAGATCCCTTTTTGGGGGAAGTTCATATCTTTTCCTTTTATGATCGATAATCAGAGGCTCTGTAAATTTTCTTTTCCTGCTAGTCCTTCTAATTTCTGTCTCTTCTTGTGGTCTTTGAATCTCAAAAGCTTCAAAGATCGCCTCCATCCTATCATCATTTTCAGCCGGTGACGAGCTTGTCTTTTCAACCTGTCTTTTTTTGTATTTGGTCAATATGTCTTCTGTGGGTAAATTTTTCTCTTTGTATTGTGTACATCACGTTTCTTAGTCTGTTAATTATTTTTTCCAAAGCTCTCTTTAATTCTTTGTCGACTTTCTCTATGTTAGCAAACGGCACGTTCCGCTTCTTTTTAAATACTGGTTGGACATTTTCTTTTAATTCAATTCTGGCTGCAGACTTGTTGCCTCTTCCCAACATGCTCGCAACTACCTTGGGAAATTGATTATGCTTCCTTTAGCTTTGTCGCTTCTGATCGTTCGCACTTTATCTTTTTCCAAAAAGAACTGACAGGTAAATCCCATACGTCGAAATTTTGCATCCAGTCTGTGCCCACCAGATTTTCTGTATCCTTCATTACGAATATTTTGAGTTTTCTTGTTTTCCCGTGAAATTTTACATTTAGGATTACTTCTCCTTTGAATTTTATACGCTTTCCTGTAACAGACTTAGCAATTTTCGGTGTATGTAACATTGTTGGTCTATTAAGCTTTCTCCATGTTTGTAGGTTGATTATCGTCAGATTTGACCCTGAGTCTAGTTGCAATTTTATCTTTTTATTTAAGATTTCAAGTTCCACATATTTCCTTATGTTAGTATTGTCTTCGTCATGCATTCTAGTAGCTCTTATTCTACTAGTAGATTTTCTGTTCCTACATTGGAATGTCTTGTGACCCATTTTTCCACATGCAAGACAGTTTTTATATTTAAAACGACAATCCTTATTCCAGTGTAGTCCTCCACATCGATAACATGAAGATGGGGTGGGGGAGGTTATATTTGCTTTGATTTTCGTTATTATTTGCTCTGAACGTTGAACATTTTTCATTATTATAGATTTTTTGTTTTATTTCCGGGGAGGATGAAAAACGTAAACTTTTGTTTAACTTACGTATATGTGATAATCCTGACTCTTCAATATCCTTCGAGTATTTCTTTACACTCAGACATTTTTGGCAGTCTTCCGATAGTTTTTGTAGTGTTAATCCAGGTTTATTTTGCAGTTTTGAAAGCATTATTTGCGCATTTCACTATCCTTTGCTGAGACTAACCCTTGTACAAAAATAAGACACTTGAAATTGTCCGGGGTTAATTCTGCCCACTTGAAATCGTCGCAATGTTTATTCACGATTGCGGCGAACGTGGAATAGTCCTCATTTTCACCCTTTACGAGGTTAAGACATTT